AGAGGGAGAGAGTAACTTGCCCACATTGACAGCTCGGGAAACTCAGGACTGTCAAATCCAAGGCCTTCCTCCCATCTCCCCCCACCCCACCCATCAGTATACACTCCACAAAATCAGCCTTTTTTTTTTTGCATATTCTTAGTCACTGGCAAACTTTCATTTAAAGGGAAGCTCTGAGTATCACCAAATATAATACAAGTGTACAGTGGACTAGAATTTGCAAGGTGCTTTTTCTTCTCACAACCTTTCTTGTTACTTTCTCATAACCACCTTGAAAAATAAGGGGGGCAGGGGTGTGATATTATGTTTTACAAAAAAGGCAATTTAAATGCAAAGCTCTTGGTTATGTTAGTTAGCGAGCACATAGCTAGTAAGGGTAGTCAGGGTCATGGAGCTAATGAACAGCAAGAGTTAGGCCCAGAGACGCTTGCTTCTGATTCCAAATCCTGTGCTTCTTGGGTTCTCTCTGCAAACCTCACGGGCCCACACCTTCTGCTGCTGACTTCTTTCTCGGCCCCTCTGATGTTCCTGCGAGAAGTCGAACAGGCTCATTACCAATTAAATATCCGGATGCTTGAACTGATGAACAGGAAATGAGGCTGCTAATGCTCAGAGGAATGGAATAGAGATACTTTTTTTTTTTTAGCAGAATTTTGGGCCAAGTGGCCTCTTTCTGTCCTTCCCTTCCCTATGTCCTTCCCGTCTCCATGGAAACCCCAAATCAATGCGGCATATGTTGTTTCATGTCTCTACTGTTACTAGGAAGCTACAAAGTAGAAATCGCTTTTAAAAGATTTGCGGAGAGCTTTAGCATGCTGACCGGAATTGAAGTCTAATATCCAAATGACTGTTTTATTAAAAGCTTGTAATGTGGTCGTATTCTAGGTGGTGTGCTGATCCAATACACACACATGGCATTTGGCAATAAACCTCCTCCGCCACTACCATGGCTTTTAAAAATATTATATCGCAGGCTTTAATTCCCTTTATCTTCCACTTAAGTACATTTGGGGGCCTGCAATGATGCCAGGTGCTCCTTTTGCTCTGGGGTGATTCCACCCCGCCTTGACTGGGATGTTGGGAATAATAGTTTGCAAATGCCGTGGGTACCCACGCTGCTGCCTTGGAGTATCATTAGCACTCGGCTAATTTCAGTCTTGACCTGGAGACTGCGGAAGTCTAATGTGTTTCTGACATAAGGAACCCTTGGTAACGTTTCAGATTTTTTTAATGAATGCAAAGCCCAGTTCAGACGGTGGTTATTAAATACCTGCTCGGTACAAGGCAAATGGGGGTCGGTAGCAGGGGAAGCAGTGCTCCAGTCAGTCTTTGCGGAGCACACAGTCATTTGGGAGGATCGGGAAACAAATCACAAGGCTGAACTTCGGACTGCGGTGGGGGCTGTCAGAGGACCACACAGCTGTGTGGTGGTGTGACGTTGGGGGAGCTCCTTCTGATGGAGGAAGTTCCAAATTAGCTTTGGAAGGAGAATTTTTAGCTTGGAGGTATTGGGTTTCCAGGAGGAGCTGGGAGTTACAAGGCAGATCCAGGGTGGGAGCAGTCTGGACACCGGGAACAGCCGAGGGCTCAGGCGTGTGCATGCATGCGTGCATGCGTGTGTGTGTGCAGATGCATGCACGAGGGGACATAAGATTGGGGAAGTAAATGGGATCGCGTGATTGGACTGTCAAGAAGGACAAGCAGCTGCTGCTGTGGAGCCCATCGAAGATTATATGGATGACCCACTTCGTGGTGTCTGTTCAGGGGGTAACTCTCGTGGTTGTAAATGTGCCACAAGGGTGTGGGGGAATCAAGATTGATGAAATGGGGGCGGGAAAATCAGTTATTTAGGAGGGATGGAAGCCGTGCACTGGGCTGAGAGCCAAATAACCTCTGGCAGGGCAGTGTCAACGGATGGGCGGGGATGGCATAAAGGCAATGGCGAGGTTTAAAAACCAATTCAGCACAGGGAACGAGAGGAAGAGGAGCCAAATACCTGTACTTGGTACCCTGAGGGGCTAGGATGGAGCGATGACATGAGCACACGCAGGGGGCCCAGCAGAAATGGGGGGCTTTGGGGGAAAGGCGGTTGTTCCCGAGGCAGCAGTGCCTGCGGGGCCTGAGAGGGAGGGGCTGTTTGGAAAACTGGCCCGGAGCTCCGGAGAGGCAAGACCGAAACTCTGATCCTGGAGAGGAGCGGTGGCCTGCACGGTTTCCTGGGAGGGCAAATGTAGACTGGGAAGAGCGGTGAGAACCAGGGCGGCCCGAGAAGCCAGGGCAGGGCTGGTGATGACTGTTTTCCTGGGAAAAACTTTGCGGATCAGTAACCGGGAAAGAATCCAGAGCTCTGTATCCCTGCGTCAGGGCTCCAAGCCCACAGGAGCCAAGTCCAACTAGGTGAGTGCCTTTCTCATCAGCGCTCCAACCTGCTTGCCTTTACTATTTCTCTCCTTCAGGACAGGAGACCATGCTGGAAGGCTGACCCCTCGGTTCAGCTTAATCCCGCCACCCCCCCCCCCCCCGGAATTTCCTATGCACCGGTCTCTGCAGGCGGGAGGGTCAGGTGAGAGTCCTCCCCAGCAAGGGGGCCTGAGCCTGTTCTGTGCTTCCCAAACCAGGTGGCCTGTTACTCCTTGGTGTTTAGGAGTGTTTTGGTAAAATAAAAAAAAAACTTTGGACTGGTTTTAGTTTTCTGTTTTTACTCACGGCTGATGCATGTCCACCTACTTCTGAACCTCTGCTCTTAATATTCTTGTTCTCTTTTTAAAAATTGATTAGTTGGCTTTATTAATTATGATGTCTTTCTTTAAACATTTGGGTTGGCTTATTGACTTCCTGTGACCGTTATCGCTCTGAAGGCTAATTGAAGATTCTGGTACCTGGTTATGGTTGGTCAGCCTCCGCTTGAGACGTGGGCCCATCTGCAGCCCTGACCTGTCTCCTCGATGCCTTTCAATCCTGGATGCCAGTCCGGGCATCCTGAGACTGGAAGGAAGCCTCTATCCCATTAGCTCAGCATGTGATGCCCAGTCCTGTGATGTCACCACCTTTGTGTTAAAGCGAGGGCCAGGGCTGAAAGCATGAAGTTTGGCATAAGACACCAGCTCTGCCACTTATAAATGGCTTGTGTTTGTTTTCCCACCTGTAAAGTGGGGACGATAAATATGTCATCAGCCTTTTGAGTTTGTTGCGAGAGTCAAATAAGATAACCCAAGTGCAATGCTTGGCACAGGGCCTGGCACATACTAAGTGCTCATTAAACATTAGCTACGTACATGGAATCCAGGGATGGGTCCACCCTATGCTATGAACTTATCTCGTATCAGGGAAATGCTGACCAGTGGGCTTTTGTGCACGAGTTTATCTGTCCTGGTTTCTTATGGGACAGGGTACCACCAACGAGTCCTGAAGTATTCTTTTTACACTTAAATTCTAAATCTCAGCTGGCAATAGAGTTCAAGGCAGAGGTTACAAGGGATAGAAAATGTTTCTTTCACATCTCACTCATCAACACCAGACTCCCTATACCCAACAGGGAGGCACCGTGGACGTTTTCAGAGAGAGACAATGAGTCACTGCAGAGGCAGCGTCAGAATTTTGATGCCATCCTTTCACTGTGAAAAGACAGGCTATGCATCAGTACATCTGCCAGTAAAGACTGGGCCCCAGCGTAACGCGTAGAAAAAGCTCTGATGTAAGAGTCACAGAGAACAACTTCTGGTCCTTCCTTGAGCTCTCTCAGGTGTCGTGACACCTTGAAAAGGGCATGACACCCGACTAGCCCCAGTTTTCTCGTCTGTAACTCTGGGACAATAACGCTCTGTGTGACTATAGCATGGGGCTGATGACACATGACAATGCTTTGTACGTTGTAAAAGGTTAGACAAATGGAATCTAATGTCTTTATTAAAAAGTCATCATTCTCCATAGAGATTGGTGCTGCCTCTGACGAATGTTGCCTTCTGGGTGTCAGAAATGACTTGCAGCAAAGTCCGGGTGCATATGGAGCTAGTTCTTGAGTGGGAGCAGGCTGGAGACCTAGAGAGGAACGAGGAGAAGCTCAGCCTTATCCCCAGGCAGAGGTTTGCAAACTTGAGCATGCCTTCAAGGACCCCCTGGAAGGCTGGGCCCCATCCCCAGAGTTTCTGAGTCTGAGGGGGTGGGGGTGGGGCCTGAGCATTTGCATTTTTAACACACACCCAGGTGATGCTGGCGCTGCTGGTCCAGGGACCACATGCAGAGAACCACAGCACCGGGACAGGAAGGAAGAGGGAGCCCTCCTCCTGAACTGAACAGGCAGTGTGAAGATCCATGTGGGTAAGGCAGTTGGGGAAAGAAAACGTAAAAGACAGGAAAATTGGAATAATGTGCAGATTGGGCAGAACAAAGGGAAAAGTCTCGCTCCATAACAAATGCAAGTAAGGGGGAGTTGCTAGGTGATGGATGAGGGAGAGAGGTGAATTTCCACTGTAGGAAAAATCAGGTGAGAGGCAGGAACACAGAGTTGGATATATGTTTGGGGAGGTGGAAATTTCTCAAGGAGTGAGGAGTGGTGTGCTGGGGGCTGGGGGGTGGGAGCGGAGAGATGCCTCTCTAGAGTAAGGGGACAGCTGAGGTGTGGCCGGGGTGGGGGGTTGTGGTAATTAATTTCAGGGCTGGGCGGTTTGGCTCTGTACTGCAGCACAATAGAAATTGGGAGAAAGAGGGTGGAATTTAGATGTGTGACCTGCCCTGTAGCTTTCTTGCTCTCTGCATTTATCACATCACATCACACCCAGCAAGACAGCCCCCTCCTCCTGGCTCATTAGGAGATTTGATTCGGCTTGGCTCCTGCTGCCAGCAGCTGTCTGGGGCACGATTTTTATGCTCCCGGCTTCCTGAGCAGCAACCAGTCTCCAGCCAGCGGCAGAGCGTATTAGTAGAGGGCCCCCTGGACACTTGATTTCGTTGGGGGCCGGAAAGAGTTAATACCTACGGCTTCGCTGCCCCCCGCACAGCCTCTGGGTGCAGAGGGAGGCAGCTCTGGGCTGTGGGGACTTCTCCCTGAGCTTCAGCCAAAGCAGCCTGGAGCAGCTGAGTGAAGCAGAGGAGGAAGGTGCGGGAGGAGTGCCAGGCAAGCTCTGCTCGGGGCACCTCCAGCATCCTGCCAATGAGGATGGGCGCGCAGGCTGTGCCCTGGAGCTGAGCCGCCGCCCGCCGGGTGGAGGCTGCTTCAGTATTTACTGCATGTGACAAACCGGGAGAGGAGATTTCAGCAGGGCTGCTCGCTGCCCGGCTCAAGTGGTGGGAGGTGTATTGTGCATGCCTGCGTGTGTGGATGTGTGTGCATGCCCGCATGTGTCGACGAGTGGCATGCACACATGCCCTTCGCCCACCAAGGATCTGACTGCTAAAAGAAAGATCTGCTCTCTCCCCAGAGCTCCTTAACTTGCAGACTCTCTGACCATCCCGTTGGCAAAGACCCGGAGGCCATGAGGACTGGTCAAAGACAGTGAGTATGGCTTTTGCTTTTTCCTTTCCTCTCCGGTGCTCGTGTGGGCTGATTGCATTATCCATATTTAATTAACCTGCCTCTCCATATTGATGGCTTTCTCCCTGCCGAGGCTTAGTCTCTCTTCCCCTCTTTGTACATCTTGGCTCTTTGCTTTGATTTTTCCCATTGAGCATCTTCTGTTCCTGTTAAGACCCATCCTGTAGAGTCACCTGCAACTTGATGTGACTAGGAGGGCATGTGAACTGTGGCTGTAATCACACCCTTGGTTTTTCTGGGCTACAGGTAACCCCAAACTCTGCCCCCCAAAAGTCAAGGCCCAAATGGGATGAGAGCCCTGAATTGCTGGGATGAATGAAGAAGCTGGGGTCAGAGATCCCTGCAGATCCTTATTCAATGGGCTCCGAGGCCAAGCTCATTGAAGGGCCAGTGGAGGGTCTGAGGGGCACTGGTGGGCAGTGCTGGGTTTGGAAGAGAGGGAGGCAGGCAACTGAGCCACCCCAGCAAGCCTGTGTGGGCTAGCAGTGGGAATGGGAAGGGTGGCCAGGCGGTGACAGGAGGTCTAGCGATACCCGCCCCAAATGACCTTGCCTGCTGTGTATGTAGGTGGTGGTTCCGGGTTCTGATTGATTCCAAGGCCATGAAGACCCCCTACCTCCTCCTCTGTGGCTATATTTCACAAGCCAGAGAAAAGGAGGCTTAGGTGCCCAAAATAATGATTTTCAGAGGTCCTTACAGCTATAAAAGGCTTTGATCTCCTGGCTTCTGAGGAAGCAGGTATACACCTGCATGGTTAGGAACAAGGTTAAGGACACGTCCCTAATGTCAGGGGACACAACCCATGTCAGTATCCTTGGCGAGGAGCCTTATACAAAGCCTAACTACTTTTTGGTGGTTTTTTTTTTTTAGTTTTAACGGAGCAATCTCGTTATTTTATTAATTAGGGTATTATTAGAAGAGGTATTTTTAAAAGTCTTTGTGAAATGTCCCAGGTAGTATCAAAAGAACGTAGCCGGATCTCGTAGGGGCCTTATCTATCTAAATCAGGTTTCTTTCCAAATGGATTTGATGGTTGGCATCAGGGTCCCCCAGGGGATCCCTTTGTGGACAGGCTGCTATCTTCCCATTTCTTCCCATCAGTTCTCCTCGGTGGGAAGAACGGGTTTGAAGCCCGGAGAGCGAGACCCTCGGGAGAGCGAGATTATCAGTCCTCCACCTCAATGGCCCCTTTCCTGATGTCCTCCTGCCTCCGGTCAGGGATGGGCTGGTTGGGGCTGAGGAAGGTCAGGCAGCTTCCAATGGGCCAGGAAGAGTGACTCGCATATTCATTTCTTCTGTCTGTGCCTGTGAGCTCTGCAGAGGAGCGAGCCTGTGCAGTGACTGTACCTGTCGGGGCTGTCTCGGAGTTACCCAGCCTTCCTCCCACACACGCCCTCCCAGGGCTCCCACACTGCCACCTCCGAGACGGGTCCCAACCTGGGAGGGAGGCAGCAGTCAGAAGAGCCGCCAATCAAATAAATGTTTCTGGAGCAAGTTCCGTGCCATGTCCTCCCCCCCAACTCCCACCCCTGGCTGGCTGGTCGCTGGGGCATGAGTCCCAATTTACTGTGGATGGCCAGCAGCTGGGGAAATAGAAACTCCTGACCAACCGGCAGGTCTTGTCCATCCTTGGTTGGTTGCCCTGGCCGGGGACGGGCAGAGATTTGTGAGGCACGGGGTGTGTGGGGGGCGGTACTCAGTTGACAGAAAGCCGTCAGAGAGGATTTGTAGCACATCGGATAAGAGAGGGTGGCCCCCTCTTACAGCAGATTCTTTGATTTTAGGTGAGAGGACGTGAAAGGGTCAATCCCTGTGGCCCGCCGTCCAATCTCCCGCCCCGACGTCCTTGCACAGCAGCCAGAGGGTTAGCCGTAAGCGGGTGCCTGTATGGCCGCCTTACTGATGCCACGAAGGTAACTGCTGCCCACCTGTCTTTTTGCCCCTGCCCCTCCGCTCTTTCTCCACCTTCCCCCGACCCCACTGTTGCAGCCTCCCAGGGCTGGGCCACTTGCGTCTGTCCCCCAGGCCTCTGTGTGGACAGTGCTGTCCTTCCAGGGGTACTTTTTGCAGTCATGGCCTTGCAAGCAGGGCCTGCCTCAGCGCCAAGTCCTCCCAGGGACCGATGCAACTCAATGTGCATGAACTTGACTGAACCATCATGGGACTTCTATGAGTTACTGGGACAGGGAATGAAGATGAAGGCTAGCCTAGATTTTTTTTTAAGTAAACTTAACCTTTGGCTCTTGCTTCTGCTCCCATTGTTTTAGACCTAACTAAAAGGTTAGAACTGAGGTCTCAGCTAGACAAGATGGAAAATCCAAACCATTTTGTTCCAAACCATTTTTGCAAACTATCTGGGAAAAACTTTGTTGTCTTGGCCACACCTAGCACTCTTTACCCTGTTCCCCGCTAAACCTTGTCTGATGGCTTGCATGGATCTGCCATTTTGGGGGAAATCCTCTACCTTGCGTTTTGGGAGCACCGACCTGACTGACTGATGGCCTCGAGGCACCAAGGAACGAACCGACTCACTGAAAGTTGGTTTTGGCCTGTGCTGCAGCCTGAGCAAGGGTTTCCCTTGAATTTGTGGAATGTGCTGACTCAAGGGCCCTGGTCAGTTGTTCGTGTGGCCTGGCATCACAGGGCCCTGTGATTTGTCAGCGTGAGTGGACATGAGATGCTTGCTATAGCAGATGTTTTGAAATGCCACGAATTCATGGCTTCACGGCGTGCCTGGCTGGGAGGAGGGGCGGGAGCCCAGGGTGTGCAGCAGGCCCAATGTTCTGCAGGGCAGGGGACATTTCTGGGAACTTGGACGCCTCAGCCTTAAACAACTTTTCCTGGGAGCTGGGCTGTGGATTGCACATGCTGTCCAGCCTCGCCAAATGTAATGCCTTCTCAGGGGACATTGGTTAGATTTCCGTGAACCCTTATCCCTGGGATAAAAACCCATGTGAAGTAAAAGGAAGAGATGGAAGTAGACCACCTCGAATGTCCCTGCCTGGGCCCAAGATCTGTGAAAAGAGGTAACGAAAGCCAGGCAGTAAGGACGTCCTTCCAACATGGAACATGGCATCTCCTCGGCCCATTTCCAGGATGAATTGTTACACATGGATACCTGGCAGTCCCCTTTTATAAGTCATTCATAAGTCCTGATCTGATTGTACCAAACCCTTCTTACTTACCTTTGCCCTCCATGTTGGGGGTTGCCAAGGTGAAAGGTCAGACATCAGTACACTTATTTTGTCCAGGGCCAGAGAGTAAATATTTTTAGCTTTTGGGCCACATAGTCTATGTTGCAACCACCCAACTCTGGGCTCAAAAGCAGCTTTCAGTTCTGTGTAAACAGATGGGGGTTGTCATGTTCTAATAAAACGTTATGGACAAAAACATCTTCCAGGGCTGTAGTTTGCCAATATCTGGTTAAAGGTAAAAAGGGCCCAAAGTTGGGGATCAGAAAGAGACGTTAACATGATTCCTCATTGGATCCTCCAAAATAGATAACTATTCAGTGTCCGGACCTCAGGAAAATAAAATATATGAGAATCGTAAACATGTATGTTAACGTTTCAAGCCCACTGATTGAGATAAGCCGAAATATAAATAACAGTGGCAGAGCTTAGTTAAATAGATGAAAGGGTTGGCACTGGTTCTTCCCCGCAGAGTGTTCTAAGCCCTCTTCCTCTCACCTGCAGGCATGGACCTTGCTGGTCTGTGGCCATTCGGGTATATCCCCAGGTTGGTGGGATACGTGGGGAGAATCTGTGTCACGGCTGACCTGCTTTGAAGCTCCCAGCTTTGTGCCCCAAGACTCTGATACACACCCCACATCCCTCAAGTGAGCAACCCTCACGCTCCTTTGCAATTAGGAGCTGTGGTTGCTGCTATTTCGCCCTCCTGGTGGGAGAGTAAAATATGGATTGCTGTTTTGTCATCACTGTGTTTCCTTTCCCTACAGAGAATCCTAATTTAGCAATCTTCCCAGCTAATGACCTTCTTTGACTTCCATCAACTTGCATGTCAGCTCTAAAAAGCATCAGGCCTCTAGGGGCAGGGTACCTATTACTATTCCTGTAGTCAAGTTAGGGAATGAGTATATCCCTTGATCTTCTAGGTGTTTCTCCTCCTGATCATGAAATCTGCAGGGGCCACCTGGGGCAGAAGGCGGGTGGGGGAGGCAGTGCTGGCTTCTGCAGCGACAGCTCCTGGGACTGTGTATGGAGCTAACAGCTCTCATCTTGACAGTCCCCGCCCTTCTGCCCCTGTGCTTGCTGCAGGAACAAAGGGATGAGGACCCGCCTGGGATGCCTGTCTCACAAGTCAGACTCCTGTAGTGACTTCACCGCGATTCTTCCTGACAAGCCCAACCGTGCTCTGAAGTGAGTAGCACGGCCACTGGGTACCCCCTGGGCGCCCGGTGCGTGGCTCCCACCTTGGGGAGGCAGAGTCTGTTCTTCTCCAGTGAGCTGTTAACCAGATGAACCAAGGGACTATAATTTCTGCCTCTTGGCAGTGACTTTTATATCCTTGAACTTGAGTGACAGGATGGTTATTTTCCTTTTTTCCCCAGTGTGTATGACTTAACTCAGTCTACTTTTTCACTCCTTTGACTTTCGAGAAAAATGTTATCTTCTATCAGCTTGCTGAAGCTGTCATGAAGGATATTTCTTGGTCCTAGTTAGTGGTCAACCTGAGCTGTCGATTTGGACACCAATGCTCCTTTCTGCTCTAGAAATCTGCTTACATTGAGATCATTGGACTCAGTGCCTCTATGGTGCAGCCATGTGTTCAGTGATGTCACCTCATTTGACCCTCACAGGGTTCCATGATGCACGTCACTGTCCCCATTATAGAGGCAAAAGAATTAAGGTGACAGCAACAGCGTCAGAGGCCCAGCCCAACTTTTCTGCCTCCAAGACCCATTTCTTTCCATTGTTATCTTGACATCTTTAAATCATGCACTTGCTTGGCTTCGTGTTTTAGACTGAACATCAGTATACCAATTCTCTGAATTTCAATCCTGAGATTTGTCTTTCCATCAGTTATTTAAGAATGTAATGCATGACTGTGACCCAATCTCAGGAATCCCGGGGTGGTCTTCATCCACCCTGCATGGCTGTGGTTTGTTTTCCTGGGCACATCATGGGGACGCCCAAAGGAGAGGGGGTTACTTCAGAAATAGTCAAGAGAGATGTTTTCTTCTCTTCTAGGAGACTTTCCACAGAAGAAGCCACCAGGTGGGCCGATTCCTTTGACGTGCTTCTCTCCCATAAGTGTGAGTAGAATTCAGGTTTCATCCTGTCGCGGCAAGTCATTCATTTATTAAGAGATGCGCCGAATCCCACCACGACCCAGGCCAGTGCCGTACTGGGTGCTTCTGACCGCTCACCCTCCCTCCCTGCCCTCAGAGCCTCCTGCCTGGAGGGGCGTCTGCAAAACAAATCTCACTCGACATGCAGTGGAAAGAGGGTTTTCTTCTCTGTTCCTGAGCTCAAAGTGTGGTCCCAAGAAGCCTTTATGTTCTCAGCAGTTTTAGTACAAAAAAAATGTAGCTTAGGGGGTTGGAAGGATAGGTGCTAGGGGAACGAGAGAGTGTAGCTCCCGCCCTGATCTTCACTGATGAGACGAGAGGACTGTGCACAGGGCACTGGAGTCCCTTCGGAATTACTCTCAGCCAAATGAATGTTCTGTGCATTTCGTTGCTCACTTAAGTTGGCAGTTATTTCTTGTCACTTTTTATTTGGGGGATTTACGACCCCAGCCGTATCAGGCCCCTCAGTTTCTGACCTGGTGCCCGTCTTACTGGGACACACTTCTGCCACCCTCCTCTTCATTTCCCCCTCTCTTCCTCTTTTGCTTCTTCTATTTCCCACAGAGGCAGGAAGGGCTGCGGGCAGGGAACCTTAAAAATGGCCACGCTCTTCCACCCTGGCTCTCTTATCATGTAAACAAGTCCAAGTTCACTAGGCTTTAAAAATCCCAGTGGCATTAAATACCCTGGGGTGGGAGAGAGAAGGGTGTTTTGAGGAGAAAAGGTCTCCCACAGACATTTGGTTCTCTTAAATCCGTCATGTCAACGTTAGAAATCTTGGTTGATCTGGGAGCGGAAGGGCTGCTTTTAGTCGAGAGACTGGTTTCCAGTGGATCAGGGAGCGGGGTTTTACACCCTGAAGGGCATTCGTTGGTAGTCAAACCCGAGCTCTCGATTTCCACCCAGCTCAGCTACTAGATCGTTGAGGGGCCCTGACAGCGTCATTCAGTCTTCAGAAGACCTCTTTGGAAGTGACTCGGCTTTCCGCTAGGTGAGCAGTTGCCCCTAATCCTAAGGTTCATTAACAAATGCTTGTGAATAGATTTTACACTGAAATTCAGGATGTAAAGAGAAGCACATATTGCAGCAAGTAATTTTGTGAGATTGTCATTTTAGCGTCTATGGATTATACTCAGGAAGGAAAATAAAGCAGCATACTACAGTATATAACATATGGCCATACCCCCAACAGAAGCTTATGTGCTGAATTCGCCAAGGTAATGGCATAAGCATGATAATGCTCAGGATTGGACGGGAATGCTTGTTTTTTTTATGAGGCTTACTCTCAGCAGTTACGTTAGGCTAAATGAGCGTCACTATCGGTTTATACCTTTTCCGGCTGGATTTGATTCAAGGTCATCTTGCAGTCTCCTTTCTATTCCAGATTCATGACTGACTCACTTATTTCAAATCCCTGAGGCTGTTTCCTCATTCTAAAACGGGGATAGACTACCTGTGTGCCGTCTGTCACCCAGATAGGAGACTTCATAGGAGGACACTTTGGGGTAAAGTTGGAGTTCTCTACTCAGAGGTGTTTTGTAAGGACGGGGTGGTGTTGTTTTTTAGAAACAATGCTCTTAATTATCAAATGCAAAATAAATGTGTCTTGAGAAAAGGCTGTCAGTTTGCTGCCAATTACTAACATCAAGTTGTTAGAGACAGAGTGTTGGTGGGAAAATGAGGATGGAAGCTTTGGGTGTGTTTGGGTTGCTGCCGTGGAGAGACTTGGAGATGTAAGAGGTTCGGTTTTATTTGATTCGATGACTTTTAGACCTGAAGACATTTGATTCTGCTGTTGTTGGGTTGCATTTTATTTCCAGGAACTCAATAACATTCTTCTGAGATGAGGACTCCCCTAGGGCTTAGAGGCTGGCGCCAGATTCCTTGTTTGAAAAACAACTGCAGAAATACCCTTCCTGGACTTTGCAGTTCTGTGATCCTTCTTGGAGTCTGATGTTTGTTTTTTATTTCTGTTTACTACAGAAATTAAAAAAAAACAACAAAATGAATGTCTTTGAGTAGAAAAGGGTCTTTGTGCAAGGTCACTGGCAGAATGTCAAGGTTTTGGGACTTGAACGCTCACTGCCCGGGAAGGTGGCGGAGGAGCTGGAGCCCAAATTTCCTTGATGAGCGCTGACAACTTTCTAAAAGTCTGATTAATTTGGGTTAGTGTTGTGACTCAATTAGGGATGATTGAGCTTTTCCGAAAGGATGGTGTGTGTGCTGGTCCCTCGGGAGGGACAGCGGTTGATCAAAGGTGCACAGGGCTTTCAATTAAGACAACAAAAATGTCCTAAAAAGTAAAGAAGGGAGAATCGCTGGATGACTGGGCTCCAGAGAAAAGTGTGTTGGTCTAGATTAGAACCTACTTTCTGGTAATTCTCCACACCTAGGCAGCTGTCCTCCCTAAGTTTTCAATTTCAGAAACATTCAACTTATTCTTATTATTTCCATTCTCCATCTACAGAGCTTCTCTGCCTTCCCTACTCTGATGGGTATTTTGGTCACTCGTTTGTCTTACAAAAGGTGTAGCTGGGTGTCCACTCTACAAAATCCTTGCCAAATAGCTGGTTGGCTGAAGAGTAGAACAGTCCCTCCCTGGTGGCGTCTGCAGCTTTCTGAGAAAACAGGCATGTGTATAATGAACACAAGAAATAATACAGTGTGCTGATTGCAAATAAGCGATTGCAGCTAGAACCCCAACATCCAGTGCCCCTCTTAAATCCCATCATGTCGACATTAGAAGCCCTCACTGCTGGGAGCAGAAGAGCTGCTTTTAGTGCAGAGCGTTGTCTCCATGTAGTCGGGGAACAGACTTCAGTACAATTAAGAACCTCGGCTGGTAGTCCGATTGTGATCTGGGTCTGCTGCTCAACAGCTAGGCAGCCTCGATGGAATGCCCGAGTATTGGAAAATCTGTCTTCTCTGCTCTACAGTGAAGGACCTGGAGTGAGAATGTCTCAGAGGCTGGATCCACTTCTGCCCCCTTGTTCTAGAATGCTGTGTGCACTAACCGTCGGGGCGTGGCAATATCAAGTCCCCGAGGGCAGGTGGTTGGAGCCGGCACAGCTGACAGGGTTACGTAAAACTGCTTCGAAGCTGAAATGGCTCGAGCAACCAGAGGAGGGGTGAAGGCATCTGTGTTGTAAAGCCTTCTCCTATTTTGGGTAGGGTCCCATTGTTCAAATCACAGCAGAGGGGTGGGTTGCGGGAGAGAAGGCAGCTTTGCTAGGTTTTAAACCTGAGAATGAAGAAAGTATCTATGGAGGCAAATAGTTGAAGCAGTGCTATTTCCAGTCACATTTGGTGACGAGTACAGTGTAAAGTTGAAGAAGCACCCATGGAGGTCCGGGAGATAATTATTTGCTAAGTGTTCTCTCTCTCTTGCTTTTTTAACTAACAAATGAAAAATGAAATTAAAATTGCTGATGGCTTCATTAGATAGAGAGGGATTTCTAACGTGCATTAATATGGCGTCATTTTCCTGTTCACCCAGGGACAGTGGGCTGGGTATCTGAGGTGTGCATGTAGCCTGCCTCGCAGCGTGTGCGTGTATGTGTGTACATAGCTGTGTGTGTGTGTGCACAAGCCTTCCTGCCTCTGCAGCTCGTACCCTGGAGTGTGAAGGTTCCAGCTCTCAGGTGGGGGGTGGTCTTTTCTGATTGGCTGCTGGAGAGCAGGCCCCAAACAGTGTGTCTTCTGCTTTCATTCCTCATGAGGTTCAGACACGGGATTGTTGTTTGTGTAGCTTTTAGTGGGATATTCGGTCCTTAACACTTAATCAAGTCTTCCTTCCTTCCCTCCCTCCCTCCCTCCCTCCCTCCCTCCCTCCTTCCTTCCTTCCTTCCTTCCTTCCTTCCTTCCTTCCTTCCTTCCTTCCTTCCTTCCTTCTTTCCCTCCTTCCTTCCTTTCTCTCTTTTCTTCCTTCCTCCTTTGCTCTCTGCTTCCTTTGTTTTTTGGATGTAAAAGTGGGATCACTCCACTTTTAAGGTGAAGGTGCAGAAGACAGGGCTTCTTCCCCCTTTTTCTCGCCTCTCTCAGCCTGATCCCACACCTGGATGACAGAGCCCCTCACCCTGGGCATCCGCTTGGTCCTTATTTTTGTTTCATTGTCTGCACGGAGCATGGAGGGTCTGTGCTGACCTGTCCCCACCAGGCCCCTGGAAGGTTTGGGGACAGGTCAGGTTAGTGGACCAGCATAGCTAAAGCTCTTTTGCATTTGCAGAGTTAGTGTCCATCTCGGAGAAAAGGGACCAATGACAAAAGGCATTTGTTTTTGTTTTTTTTTTAATTAGCTTATTTTGGGATAATGATTGAGATATGGAAAGATATAATGACTCGACCTGGTCCCACAGCAACTAACAGAAAACCCAAAACAAAACAAACAAACTAACTAACAAACAAACACCAATATGACCAGCTCATGAAATCCCTTTATTGTTTGTCCATATGGTCTTTAGCTCTAGAATCTAGAGTTTGACAATCGCGTTTCCATTTCCTGCACAGCCCTCCCCCATCCCTCTCCACGTCAAGGATTCTAGAATAAATGGTGTAACCCAGAGTGCGATCCAAGGAAGGCAGCACCAGCAGCTGCAGCGAGCTGGTGAGAAACGGAAGCTGCAGGGTTCTATCTCAGACCTACCGACTCAGAACTCTGGCAGTGGGGCCGGCAATCTGTCATTTCTCAGGCCCCCAGGGAGGTCTGTACCCACCAAAGCTCGAGAAGCACTGTTCGGAAACACACGCACGGACAACCGTGAATCTGGTGCCTCTCGGTGAGGCAGGCGGTCTGTGCTTTCCAAGAAACAGCTAATCACTACACGGTAGCTTTGCAAAGTGCTCCGGCAGCACCTCCCTTTGCTGGTGAGTCCTCTGTGTGTTGCAGGTCCCACACAGGTAGCAGGTACGGCGCAGGCGCTTCACAGTAACTAAACAGGTATGGCCGGTGTGCTTCCTGGGTAAAA